CCAGTGTGCAACAGTACATGACGGACAAGGGAACGCTTGGTAGTGAACAGCTTTTGGCAAAACTCACACTCAAACACTTCTGTTTTATCCATTCTTATTTTCTTAAAATCTAAAATAAGCTCAACCAGGCACAAAATGAATCATATTTTCGATGTGCCAAATGTACGGCAAACTCCTCATTGCGTTCAGCAGCTTCCTTGCTTCGAAACACGTGCAGGCACACATGGGGACAAACAGTGTAAACAGAGAACCCACATGTCTGCCTAGAGTCCAAGTTCACCTGAGTCAAATCAGTGGCCCGTGAAAAATAGCCGCTTGTCTACTCGGAGTACTAAAATATTTTGCCTTTTCTCTAAATCTAAATACAAAAACTTTTCTTTTTCTGCAACAACGTTTCAGGAGGTAATGTGTCTTTAAACTTTTAGTAAGTTTTTATTTAAAGTTTTTATATTTAGGTTTCAGAAAACTTAATGAAACACTTTACTACTGGCAATGCAAAACAGAACACATTTTTAAAATTTACATGTTTGAAAATACAATTTTGTATTTTTGTTAAATTGTTTTATTAATTGTATTTTGTTTTTTAAAAATTAAACTAGCAACCAATACCACTCCATATATTGCAATGTATTGCAAATTTTTAATTTCATTTTTTAATTTGATTTGAAAACACTCTTGTTCTATTATTTTATTTTTAACATTATAGTCAGAAAAACTTTCATCTATATCAATTTGAAAATTTACATTTCCAAATGTAGAATCAGCATTTTGATTAAAAATAACATTTTTTAGCGTTGCGTTATCTAAGTTTGTGTTTGTGGTGTTTTTAATTATATGATAGTTTTTGGTAATTAACTGCTTTTTTGATACAAATCTTTTATTTCTTGTTTTGTTTATTATTTTTTCTTGTTTTATCAAATGAATTGTAAACAAATGAAAATTATTTTTTTCAATTGTTATCCACGCTCCATTTGTTTTAAGTTTAATTGTTTGTTCAGAAACATATTCATTTTTTTGTCGATTGTCAAACTCTGTAAATAATTTTTTCAAACTTTCAAATTCGGTAAACAATTGCAGCGATTTTGTATTATCAAATTTATTTTCACTGATAACTAAATTAATATCGTTTTCAAGAGCATTTAAAACAACGTCGCGCAAAAATGGATTTTTTGTGCAATATATTGAGTAATCCCATGTTTTTAAATTGTTAATAACATCTAAAAGTGTATTTTGAGAAACTTCATGATGCCTTAAACTCCATAAACTGATTACTTTTGTGTACGTATTTTGAAGTTTTTTGACTAAATTAAGTAACTCTTCATTTGGCGGTAAAAAAGAAAAGTATAAATTAGGAGCACTGTAGTTTTTATTATCACTTGTTCGCACCTCCCAATTGAACGGGTCAGAGTTGTCTAACAAAATACACTCTTCTCCTCTGCTTAACTTTAATTTTTGCCCGGTAATACTAACGTTAGAAACTATTTTTTTGCCCACACCTTCACTGCTGATTTGCAACTCAAATGGCAAAATGCGTTTGCATTTTAATTTTAGATCGTTTAGTTTTTCTTTAAATAAATCAATTTCATTTTTCAGCGTCAACATTTTACTGTTTAACTGGTGCCCTTCTTCAAACGTAATGTTTTGAACATTAAAAACTGTGTTTAACTTTTCTTGTGATTTATTCAACCATTCATAGCACTGAGCAACTTCTTTATGAAAGTTTTGATAGTCGGCTGCGTTTTTTCATAAATTACTAAACAGTTGAACATCTCTACTAACATCAAGTGTTCAAAATTTAAATCATCAAGAATGTGGCGAATGCAATCAATAGCTGGGTGACCGTCAGACAACATTTGTTTAGCATAACCAACAATAGAATCATAATCTTTTTCATGCATTTTTATATTGTAGTATAAAATTAAATGCTCATTTTCAACGGCCATTTGATCAAAATTTGGCGACGACCATTCTCTATTGATTTCAGGAGAAATTATAATCTGATTCCATTTTTTTTCTTCATCAGCCTTTATTAGTAATGCTAAAAACAATTCTAAGTTATTTAATCTTTGATTTCCAATTGATTTTAACTCTGCAAACAAATCGTTTAATTGAATTAATTTTTGTTGGTAAGTTAGCAGCAGGTCTTTGTTAATTTCTGATTGCCTTGCATTGCATTCCATAACGTTTGCAAAAAACTCATCTATTTTTTCATTTTTAATACGTTGGTTGGTGACTTGTTGAGTTGCAAACAAAAAAATGTTGTTTTGCCGTTTAGAATCAATAAACACCTTTGAAGAAACATTTTTGTGGTTTTCAATGCACCAATCAATGCATTGGTTAAGAAATTGAAGTTCACTATTAGAATTAATTTGAAAATCTTTATTTTGAGACAATTCATTTGATTTTATAGAACCCACTTGTTTTGTTGAAAATTTTTCACTAGTTGTTTTTGGCGTTATTTTATCTAAAACTTTTTTTTAAAAACATTGTAATTTAAAAAAAGTTTCAAAAAATCAAAACAATTTGATTATTTCAACTTTTAGCCAAAATGTTTAGCAAACATTGCAAATATAAAAACGCATTGAAATTATTGATTGTTACTATAGTCAAAATAATCTTTCCTAATATAAATTTTTTGTTTATCAATTTATTTTTAACAGTTACACTATTTGCAAAATGCATTTTGCAATAAAATTCATCAAACTTTTTATCTTTTTTTTAAATAAAAATATTTTTTTAGGTTTGCTAGAAAACCTAGTAGCTCTAGGTTTGCTACACAATTTATAAAAATATTGTGTTATTGAACAATAAAAATATGATACCAAAAATATGGTATCAAATATGGTAAATCAACAGTTGTCTTTGAGCAATGATTACAAACGTACTGGATTTGATCTTGTGATTTAAGATTAAAAACTTGGCATATATTGCTCTATTTATCATAAAAGTTGTCAGTGATGTAGAAATTGTGTCTGCAAAAATGAAAAGCAGTAATTGTACAGTGGTTTGTGTGGGCAAACTCAGTCTTCTCCTTTTAGCTGTCTTTCACTTTACCAATGTCAACACAGGTAAAATAGAAGAAGAAGCTGAAGAGCTTGCACTGATTGCACAACTGAAGAGTGGCAAAGTGAGAGGCACTTTAGTGCAGAGTGATGATGGATCAAAAGTGTTGGCGTACCAGGTAAGATAGGCCTACTTTTTTTATTTTTGATTAACCAAACAAAACCCTCTTATCAGGGAATCCGCTACGGCCATGCTGCTCGATTTGCCAAACCTGTCCCCGTTGAACCGTGGACCGACGTCTTTAATGCCACCCAC